TTTTTGTCGAGGTTGGAGTTATAGGATTATTTGTTTTGTTGATATAATGTTTTATGGTATTATCTATTAATTGGTTGGAATAGTTGTTGTTGATGAAAAACTGCTTTATGCGAATCAGTTCTGTATTGAAAATATTGATATCGGAAGAGATTTTGTATGCCCGATGAATGAAGTTATAGATGACGTTGTTTTTATAGCGGTCGGGGCAGTCCGAATGATTATTTAAGACCTGACCAGAATTAGTCGGTTTAACATAAACCCTCGAAGTTAGCTGTTCTTCTTTTTCTTCAATTAAGCAATCGAGAAAGGCCAATTGTTTTTCGGTGCTAAATTCGATGGTGAATTTGAGATGGGAGTTTGACAGATGATGAACATTTATTGATTTATTACAAATCACCTATGTTTACAACTTACAGAATATATTTCAGAACAACAATATTTCAGGGCATACAAAATCTCTTCCGATATCAATATTTTCGCTGTTAAAGCTTCCAGTTTTAGATAAATATGAACTCAAACAATACCGCCTCGTTGAATGTCTTATAAAGAAGTTAATTAATGCAAAATGGGCAAACAATTTCAATGAAATTTGCATTTCTGAAAACCTCGTTCCTAAATATATATATATATATATATATGTTGGTAATAGACCATAATTTTTACAATATTCTATAAATTCTACCTAATGTTTGGCGTTAATATGTTTGTAGTTCGTTTTTTCGATTTTTCTCACTAAAGTTTTTTGGTGAACGTTTAGTTTATTAAAATTTAAAATAAACTTATTTTTCGAATTCATGCTGCAAATAAGGCCATATTTCGATTCCGAATGAATCATCATCAGTGCTCCTTGCTGTATATATAGGGAAATGTTGACTTTTGTTGACACCTAATTCGCATCAAAGTTCAATTTTACAACACCAAAGTTAATTTTTACAACGTCAAAGTTAATCTTGACAAAGTCAATATTTCCTTATATATACAGCAAGGAGCACTGACGATGATTCATTCGTAATCGAAATATGGCCTTATTTGCAGCATGAATTCGAACAATAAGTTTATTTTGAATTTTAATAAACTAAACGTTCACCAAAAAACTTTAATGAGAAAAATCGAAAAAACGAACTACAAACATATTAACGCCAAACATTCGGTAGAATTTATAGAATATTGTAAAAATATATATATATATATATATATATATATATATATATGATGTGAAGTGAAGTTACTTAAATTGTAGCCTATAAATGAATTTTTACTTTTCATTATCAAATAAACACATTTAAAATCAACCTTTTGTGGAAAACTTCGAAAATTTCTCATTGTCAGGTCTTGATTCAGTACCTGAGATTTTCAAAAAAAATTCATAAAAAGCTGCAGATAAACTGTTTGTCATGTCTCTTCGACTGGATATTAATTCACTATCAACGTACAAAAAAATTTAAACAAATTATTTATTGTTAATTATTATGAAAATTTTTTTAAAAACGGAAAAGAGCGACATAAATCAAACTAACATTAAAAAATTTACTAATAAATTTATACAATTTTTTGTAAAAACATCAAAATCATTAAACCCTAAAATTATACTATCAATAACCCCAAACCTTAAACTCTAACAATAACATAAACATTAGAGGTTAACAATAAACATAAATAATAAACCCAAACAATAAACTTTTGAACTCTAACAATAAACCTAAACAATAAAGTTTAGAAATAAACATAAACAATAAATACATACCTTAAACTCTAACAATAAATCTAAACATTTAACCAAAACAATAAACTCAAACACTTAACCATAACAATAAATCCTAACAAGAAAACTTTATGAAACATGTTCGTAAGTTAATTTTTTATTTTTGTAAGTTTTATGTTCATTACAAGAATGAAAAATTCCCATGTACGAATTCCCATGTACAGCACGTCATATACATTTTCATATTTTGAATACTTCATGCATTATATTATACTATTTCATAAATTATATAAATTTCTATTATAATTAAATTAAAAAGTAAAATTGAATTACCAAAAACAATTTACTTCATCAATGGAATGTTTCTATCTTGTACGTCTCTTGAAGATAAGTTTTTTACAGATTTTGTTTCGGTGTAATTTTGTGACGATATGTAATTTATTTTAGTCATTTCAAAAGCCTTGCTTTTTACTGAATCATTTTGATCTATGTCAATGATTGTTTGATCTGCCCACCTGCTTATTTCTCTAAATTTCTCAGGAGTTAATTTGTACATAGGGCATAAATTTGTCGTTTTTTCGTCGTTTGTATTATTTAAACAATTAAGATGAACGCCATCAAATGAATTATCAACGTTTCTGTTTACCGTGTTGGTTTTACAACAATTTTTTATTTTACCATTATTTGAATTTAACAGTATGTTTTTTATTTCATGTTCATTGTTATCGTTATGGATTATATTGTAATGAAGTACGCTTTCTTTACATGTATTCCCAATCCTTTTACTTTCAAATTTGCTTGGCGTAGGTGTAAATAATTGATCGCAAAATTTTCCTGAATATTTTTTTGCGTTATAAGCAGTAAAATTATCAGAAGAGTTGTTTTTCTGAATCTCAACAGAACTTGCGCCAGAATTTTCTAAAATATTATCAAGTTCTTCTTCGAAACTTATCACGCCAAGATGATTTTGAGTGTCGTCAAATTCACTACTATCATTGAGGCTGACATTCTCCAAGCTCTTGAAATTTGAAATATTTGTATAACTTTCTTTTGATTTTGAAATACTTTTATAGCTTTCCCTCTCAAAACCTATAAAAAACAAATTATGTTAAGTTGGTTACAGGCATTGGAAAATATTTTGATATCATTTTTAAATTGTAAAAATGGTGAAATGGTTTAAAATTTGGTTGATAATAACTTACAATTAAATTTTTTGTTGATCTCATTGTTGCAGTACATGTTGGAACTTCCACATTTTTTTTTGTTGTTTATCGAATGATTTTCATTTTTTTCAGCTTTTAATAAAAATTTTTTTGAAAAAATTAAGACATTTATAAATTTTAGAAACATAAATTAATTTATTGATTAAACCTTGGTAATTAAATTTAAAAAAAAATTAAACAATTTTGATTTAGACGCTTTTGTTGCACCTTGTTTAATAACAGGTGATTTTCCGTATTTAAAATCCAAAACTATTTGAAATGTTGATTCGCATTTGTTGGAAGTTTGTTTGATTGCATAATCTTAAAATTTACTCACACCAAATCATTTTCACTCTGAGCTTTAATAAGGGTGTCGGAATAGAAACAAAATAAACAAAATTGGTCTGACTCTATCATAAAACATTTTTCGACTCCAACTAACTCTTTCAAGAAGTTTCCGACTTCGAATTAATGTTTACATTTTTACATTATAACCTGAAAACGTACTGGCTTATGCTAAAATGAAAACTATTTTTAGAGTTCATTAAACATTAATTAATGTCTTTTCTTCAACATAATGATTCATTTATTTAAGATTTAAAAATAATAAGATGCTATTATTTATATTTTTGCATTAATGCTTGTTGTTTGCAATTGTAAAAAATTCACGTTCATTTTTTGTATTTGCTGCGTAACAAAGCTGAAAATTTACTAATTTTCAAACTTTTCTGTAGGTCTAATGGTTTTTTATTTATTGACAAAACTGCCCAGTGGGCCATAAAGGATCACTTAACTAGACTGAAAAAATAAACGAATTTCAATAAAATGTAGCTTGAAAAATCATAGTTAACATTAATAATGACCATCACTCTCGCGAAATAATATCATAAGAAAAACCATTTAAACAAATTTTGATAAATTGATAGTTATAATAATATTGATAGTTATTTAATAGTTAAAAATTTTTTAAAGTCAACAGAGAGCAGTTGATTTTTGAAGACAGCATATGAGGTTGAAGAGACAACATCTGCTGGCAATCAGTTAATCAATCTTCGTTTAGCGTCCAGAGACCCAGTTTCCCGAGGTAGGACGTTGTTTTCTTTGCCATCAACTTTTTGCGCCAAATTATCAATCAGCTGTATCCATTTCATTTAAATTTAGAGCTTTCATGTCTTGCTCGATTGTTTGCGACTAGGACTTCTTTGTACGGCCTTTGGGACGTGTGCCAGGTACTTCAACATCTGCAAGAGAAGTTATGGCACTGTTTCCACTTCGTTTGACATGACCAAACCACCGCAGACGGTGTTGCCGGCATTTGTCCTTTATATCATCTAAACCAGCACGACGAAGAATTTTGGTAGATTTGATGTGGTCTTTCAGTCTGATTCGTTGCATCCATCGGAGCATTTTCATGTCGGTTTGTTGAAGTTGTTGACCCAGTTAGGTTGTCATTGGCCATGTTTCTGCACCATATAACAAAACCGGACATATCACAGATTTATAAAGTCTTAATTGTAGAAGTAGTGGGATGTAACGCCGCATCAATATAGAGACAAGGAGATGCCATTTATTTCCAGGTGCACGTATGCGTGCTCGAAAGGGAAGTTTCGCCTTTTCAGTACCATCCTAGAACATCGGTTAGATATTGAAACTATTGACTTTCTCTATCTTAATGGCTTCAAAAACATTGCTATTTAGAATTTGTTGTTGTGGATTGATGCAAGCAGGACAAACAAAATTGGACACTTTAGATAAAGTACCAATTATTTTTGAATTTATTTTTGTTTGTGACACCACTGGTTACACTGCTGACACTTGATTAAATTGTTACCTACACCAGCTTTACAAACTGAACAGGGCCATTGTTCAGTAGCTGTGGATTGAATGGGTTCACCAGTGTTCATTGCTTTGGTTTTGCTGATGTTGACTTATGGCAGTTTTTACGACATCTGCTGGCAAGGCATTCCATATTCGAATAATTCGGTTGCTTGCAGAAGAAATATTTAGTTGAGTTGTCACTAAGATTGAAATCACGCAATTTACTTTGATGTCCCCAAGTTGGTAAGGGCAGTGCTGGAATAAAATTACTATTTAGGTCTGTTTGTACGAGGTTTAAAGTATTTTGTACAGAAGGCTTAGATTAGAAATTAACTTCCGACGATCCAAGGTATGCATTACACCTGCATGCAGACAAGTATGGGAGATGATGTAAAGACGGGATAAACTTTGTAAATCTTCTCTGTACATCTTCAATTTTGTTTATTTGGTATTTGTAATGTGGATTCCACACAGATAAAGCATATTCAACCAGAGGACGTACGTATGTGCAAAAGGCTGATAAGTAGGTCTTCATCCTTTAAGGTAAAACATCTTTCGATTAACCGTGCACGAGAGGAAGCTCTATAAGTAATATCGTTGATATAAAGATTCAAATTAAGTTGTTTGTCGACAATTTTACCAAGGTCCTTACAGTGGTCCATGCGCGATAAATCGTGATTATTAATCGAATATTGATGAAAAACTGTATTAGATCTAGTTGAAGAAAGAAATGTGCAATGGAAACATTTGTCGGAAGAGAGCCGTAGCTGCCATTTTGCACTCCAAGCAACTATATTATTGATCACTTGTTGAACTTTGATTGAGTTGGATGAACGGCAGTACAACTTGATGTCATCCGCGAAAAGCAAAATCCTAACAGAATAGGATGAGGTACAGTCAGCTATATCGTTTATGAAAATCAGGTATAATGTGGGTCCCAGGACGCTATCCTGCGGCACAAGTGCTGACAGTTTATCTTGAATCCGAACGAGCTGAGAGCGTTCAGATAGAAAGTTGGTCAGTCAGGAAAGGAGTAATTCTATAAGCCTTTAACCAGTAATTCTATAAGCCTTTAATTTATTAATTAGTTTGTTGTGAGACAAAGAATCAAACGCTTTTCTGAAATCGAAATAAATAACATCACAACTTTCTTTTTGTTGGCGAATGAACATACAATCACTGAGAAATTGTAGCAGGTTAGTGCATGTGGATCAAGCATGCAAAAAGCCATGCTGAAAGTTGGAAATTAATTTGTTGTTTGTTTATGATTTTTTCCATTACCCGGCAACACGAGCTGGTAAGCGAAATTGGCCTGTAGTTACCAAAATTGTTGGATGGACCCTTCTAATGTATTGGAGTGACATTGCCGTTTTCCATCTGGTAGATAATAGATTGTTTTTAAAAGATATATCAAAATTATGACACAGTGGTATTGACAAACTTGAATCATCCATTTTGAGCAAGATATTGGGTATACCATCTGGTCCTATCGAGGAGATGCTCTTTAAACCACGCAAAGTTGTATACACCATCTGAGGGGTGAAACTAACATCTTCTAACAAGTCTGTAATGCGAGATGGCAAGGAACAGTTAATGTTATTGTCGATTGTAAGCACAGAAGCAAAATATTCGTAGAATGCACCGGCCATTACCAACGGATCGTAAGTTATGCTGTTATCGCTTAATCTTAAATTGCTGACATGTGATCGAGAAAACAGTTTTTTGTTGACGTATCGATAAAAACCTCTAATATTTGATTTGGATAGTAGATTTTGTTCACTGGTTATTCGGTAGTACTTGGTTAAGTTTGAACATTTTTTCGACATTGTCATATACAGCTCTTTATCATACAAGCAGGAAGAGAGTTTCCATTTTCTCCAAAATGAAGTTTTACTTTGTAGGAAAGACGTAGAGAATTACGAACTGCCTGTTTACGAGAACTTTTTTTGTAAGTTTGGGGAACATAAGTTGATACAGCAATACTGATTATCTCCTCAAAAATCTCCCAACAGGTATTAACGTCGAAGCAGTACTGGAAAAGGTTATCCCGGTTTGTACTCATAAAGTAATCGTTCATCCCCAAGAAACCTGTTATGTTGAAGTCGTAGAAAATTTTGTTTTGACTGGTGTTCATCACGTTCCGGGCAGTATAGCTGACTTCGAATGTGAGGCAGTTATGATCGCTAGATGCAAACGAACAGGACACATTCAATACTGTAAGTAACATCGGATAGAACCAAGTTCAAAATGTTCCTCGAGTCGGCCTGTCAACAAGCTGATGTAAACCTAATTTGTTGAAAAGTTCAATAAATGTATTGTAAATAGAATTATTAGGTACGGAGTAATTATCTCAGATAATGTGAGGAAGGTTGAAATCTCCCATCAAGCATACAACGTCACTTCTGCAGAATTCTTTTATACAACGTGCACTATCGAAAGCATATTGTTCCGCCGAAAGGTCAAAATCACCACTACGGTAGAAGGAGATAAAACTATAATTTTTGGTTGAAGTAGGAACATCAATAAAGACAATCTCGATATGAAAATACATAGATGGTACTGAGACGACTTTGTAGGAAACAGTATCTTTAATGATGAAAGCCACGCCGCCACCACGTGCTTCATGATCTTTTCGAACAAAACCAGGAGGCAAAAACAGATTGTCAGGATCATTTGGAGTGAGCCAAGTTTCAATAACAGAAAATATTTCAGGATCAAAAGTTGACAAAAATAAACTAAGGTCATTTGTTTTCTTCTGGAGGCTACGAACGTTAGCCAGGGCCCAAACGAAGTTTTCTATTTCTAGTTAACTGAACGAAAGGGCTGGTAATTCGCAGGTTGGTTGTTATTAGTTTTATGAAGACGTCATTCCTGTCTTTTGAGAAACGCTTGATCTGCCTGTCTCTTAGAAAGATCGGGATTAATGTAGATATTTTTTGTCGCTGGTGATGACCGTTGAATCTTCGAAGATGCAATCAGGTCATCAGCTGCTGATGCGTTTTTTAAAGTCACACACAATTTAGACTTTTCAATGCGACGTGTTTTTACAATCTGGCGTTTGACAGGAAGGTGGTTTTAACTAATTGACGAAACCATATCTTTTTCATTACCTCGCTGTACGAGTTCAAGCCCGGAAATGATGACATTTTTTGAAAGTTGCACTTCATTTTTTCGTTCTTGCTCAACAGTCCAAAGAGCTCTTGTCATGGTATCAAGCATTGGAGTTTCGTTAAGTTTTATTACTTTTTGTTGGCATGCATGTTTGTTTTGCACTTCTAATGAAATCCTCCAATTTAATGTAAGCATGATTGTAATTTGTGGGTTATTCGGCGCCTTTAACAATGTACACAGAAACAGAATGGCATCGTTTGTGGGGAATGCTTGTTTAATTTATTATTAATCGTTAAATTTGTATATGTAATATTTCCATATTAATAATTTACTTTTTATGCGCCGTCATAGACCGTTTCCTTACCAGACCGTTTTAAAATAAGAAGCATTGAAAAATTTTGAAGGATTCTGTATAAATTATAGTAATAAATAAAGTAAACGGATTAGAAAATATTTAATAAACTTTAGAGTGTTAAAAACATTTCTCTCTCAAAAAAAATCATAAAATCATCTCTTTCCAATGCCAAATTCTAGATACTCTACTATTCTGTTCCAACCTTTCATACCTAAATAATGACATAGGGAGTATTCTTAAAATCTAGCTGTTGAACTTCAGCAATCTCATCTGATTTGGCTAATAATTTAATATCTCAAACAGTTTTTAACATCTATCATCACTATTGAAGGTGACGTAATATTGTTCCATATAGTATTTTTTTGTAAAATACTGGAGTATAAAAAATTATGACTGAAATATTAATAAAATGAATATTAAACTTTCGACAAAATTCCTATTTGGAATTCAGCTAATAATTTAATATCTCAAAGAGTTTTTAACATCTATCATCACTATTGAAGGTGACGTAATATTGTTCCATATAGTATTTTTTTGTAAAATACTGGAGTATAAAAAATTATGACTGAAATATTAATAAAATGAATATTAAACATTCGACAAAATTCCTATTTGGAATTCAGCTGCCTTAAGTTCCGACATTCTGGTTGGGTTGCATTTGATGAAAACAGAAGTAATCAAATTAAAACTTCTGTCTGTCAAAAATATCATTTTATATTAATATATTAGATATAGACATTAAAAAGCAAAATTGGGCATAAACTCAACCAAAAGATTTTTACGACGAAAATGATTTTTTTAGTTATTTTCAGAGTAATATTAAACGTAAGCGGTTATTGTGAATCCAGTAAAATAAATTCAATAAAATGACATTTATTAAGCATTAAATAAATTAAAATTCTTTGCTCCCGCCTCAAGATAGATTGAATTGAAACATGCGAAAAACATTTGTGGGGTATGTTTGAATGAATAATAGTTAAAAAACAAACTGGGTAAATATTTCACAAGAGACTTATTAGCGTCGGTGTTAGGGACCCACACTCCAACTCCCTGCCACGACAACTGATCTGAGCTTGATGAAGTAAGAGAAAATTTGTCTGACAGTTGAGAACGAGAAACTTTTGTGAACGATTCCATCAAATCTGAAATTGTTAAACAAATTTATTTTTTATCTTTTTATGATAGCAAAGAAGTAAGCAATATATGTCAAAGAGTTTCAAAATTTCATATTACCCTAAAAACGCCAGTAAAATGAAAATTTTATTTTTTATTCAGGATTTGATTTAAAAAATGAAATAATTTTTATGAATTTTGTATGATATGAACACGTTTTTGAAAATCAGATTATAACTCACAATTTTGTTAAAATAAACTACATCGAATATTGTATCTTATATATGTAATTCATTCATTTTTCAAATTACGTATTTGACTTTAACAAAATTCTTAAAATTTAAATTGTTTGTAAACATTTTTGGAAAGACTAGACAGAAAAAATTATTTTCTTTGTCATGAAAATAAATAGGAACCTCCGTTCCTTTGTTGCTCCATAACCTTCAGATTCAGATATCCAGCCTGATTCGGATAGCGCTATCAACTATAGTATAAAAGAAGTTTTTGCTTTGACTGAGTTGGGTTGGGTTACAATTTTGAATATTTTTTAGTAGAAGGAAATTTCAGATGTGTGAACTGTGTTGATGGTTTAATTCTGGTTAATGTGCTAAATCGGTTGCAAAAAACGGAAAAGTTTTTTACTTGCATTTTTCAGTAGCGTGTAAAAATTTACATTTGAAATTGATGTATTAAATTTAAATTCAATGTTTGGAACAAAAAATATTTTAAAAAAAGTTTAAGAAATTCTTAAATTATAACAAATCGAACGATTCAAACTGAAATAGAAAAATATATCCATCTTGAAACCTTTTCAAAATTTACATTTTGAAAAGCTACCCGGTTATCACAAAATATAATTGAACAAAATTAAGGCTTGAACAATTAAAAAATGCTTCCAATTTACATTGAAAAAAACGTACGCAAAGTCAGCAAATCAAATATTTATTTAAAAATTGTTGGATCAAAACTTGATTTAAAAACGATAAATTAAAATTATTAAAGTTACATACAAATATCCACTTTTTTTCACACCAGAAAATAACATTCGATAGAATTTGGTAAAAATAATTGACACGTTTAGATAAATAAATAAGCAAATATTCCTTCACTTAGAATAATAATTTGTAAACATATGATTAAAAACAATATATAATCGATCGAAATAGTGAAGCCAAGCTGAAGAGCAGGTGCAAACTGAACGTAAGATATGCGCCGAGCATGTTTATTACATATGACGAGGAGAAATCTATGGGTGTATAAAGTGTTATACAATGCGTCCACATGTGTATGATGCACGTGTTCCATCAATATTGTTGAAAGTTTTAAAATTATACAAAATGTTTTTATAAAGCATTGAAATGTTGACAAGCATGATACATGCTCTATAAATAGTGTCAGAATTATGAAATAAAACTGACTAAAAATACTTCAAAGTCTTTCAACGCAAAATTTATTCACTCGATAGGGAGCCTGATGCAAGTTAATTTACTCGATAGGTGACAAGACGATTTTTTGTTTGTTTTGCAATTTAGAAGACGTCATAAATTATTACAAATTATTTTAAAATTTAATTAGTAGTTTTTTTGATTAATTGGACATACCTTGGAAATTTTTATGTTTAAAAACACCCGAAACAAAATCTTATTTTGCTTTGATATAGAGTTTCTTTACCTTATCTTTTAAGTGGAAGAGAGTGAAAAGGGCAGAGAGTCCGCACTGGGTTGACTAGTTAGGCAGCTTCGAATAATCGGTGCCTATTCTGGTCCCTAAGAGACTTAATTCCATATTCTATGCTCATTAGCACGGAGACGTGTCTTAAGTTCTCGAAAAGAGTCCGCCTTGAGTTCACCAGTTAGGCAGCTTCGAGTAATCAGTGCCTATTCTGGTATCTAAGAGACTTAATTCGTGATTCTATGATCATTGGCATAGTTTCAGAAACGTCTTAAGTTCTCAAAGTGGATTTAGTACGAGACCATTGAAAACAATTCTGGCCAGTGAAAACAGGCCAGAATTGTGCGAACAGGCCAGAATTGTGCAAAAGCCGACCGACTGGCAGACAGGCCTAGTGAAAACAGGCCCTTGGTCGTGCGAAAGCCGACCAAACTCGACGGCCCAGTGAAAACAGGCCAGGGTTGTGCGAAAGCCGACCGACAGGCCCAGTGAAAACAGGCCTTGGATTCTGTGAAAACGAATCCGCCTCCTTCTTTTGTTTCTTGTGCTATTTGTCGACCTAGGGTTCTTTGCTGGATTCTATACTCATTGGTATAGTTTCGCACGCAGCTTGCAATTTCCATAGGCTCCGATTTTTCTGCATTCATTTTATTTATTTCTCGGAGTTGTATCGACACCACCATCGGTCACACACGTCGAGGTTGTACGATTAAACGGCAAGAAACATATCCCAAGTCGAAGACCCAACAAGAAGAAGTTCTAATTCCTGTATTCCAGTTTGTTCATTGACATTATTATTTTTTTTACATTATTATAGAGTTCATTTAGTTCAATTCTTTTTTTTTCATTTACTTCCGTCGATTAATAAAATTGTTATCGAATATTTTTACGCGTTCGTGTGTTACTCAGTAAAATCATATAATTCGAAAAAAACCCAGTGCCACACAGGACTGGTCGAACTCACGATAAAAATATACACAAAAATTATTGTCGGACCATAAAAAAGATTCCCTGAGAATGATAGAGGAAGAGATTACCTCACCACAAGTTGCTTTTAAAATTTCCGACAATATTGATGGATCGAAAACTGTGTTAACCTGTTATTTACAGGTTTGGATTGTTGGGGGGAAATTAAAAAAAGTTTTGTCCGAATAAAACAAGACAACGCATAATAACTCCTTCGACATAAATATAATTTTCTTGTTCCTATCGGTAGAAATGTTTTCCAAAATGTGACTTGTATCTCATGTCAACCTCTCACAAGTTCATTGAAGAACGTCGTTGAACGTTTCATAAATGGTGCTATGACAATAGATTGATCATGGTTGGTTTGTAACCTTACTAATTTTACGAACGTTAACGATATTAGCGGCACTACTCAGGAAGCGGAAATAAATCGTTTCTTGTTATTTTTGAATTTAAAAACAAATGCTTAAAACAAAAATTAATTTAGAAACTTAGAATAAATGACGTCATTTTCATTATCTATCTGTTTTTATAATTTATTCTCTTTTTATGCCTTTTTGCAGAGTGAGTTGTTCGAAGTCTGTTTCCCGTTAAATTTTTTCACTAGAAAGACAAATTTTTACACCACCGAATTCGATGGTTGATAATTAACATTTCAAAATGACGAGGTTTAGAAGCTAGAAGAGAGTTATTGAGTATTCATTCATTTCAAACATTTTATACTATAATGATATCTTAATGGAACTTTTTATCAGTTTTTCTTAGCATTAAAAGTGATTTACTAGTTGTTGTTGTTGTTGCTGCCCTTCCTAGGGGTCGGACGAAGGTTCCAGGCGAGGCCTGAGCCAGTTCGCCACCGCGACCGGGTTTCTTCACAGATCTATTGGATTGAGGACAATGGGATTCTGTGGACAGCTGAACAGATGTGGTACATCGTCCGGATGTGTTTGGCAGAAAAAACAGATGTTAATGTGTCCACTGTCTATTCTATTCTTGTAGCTGTTCAGAAGGATACTGTGGCCGGATCGGAGTTGAGCGAGGGTCCGCCTGGTTGCCCTTGATAGGGTTTCCTCCGATTTGTCTATTTTAGGGGTTGGTAGTGGCCACCCATTGAGCAGTAACGGTGCCTGGTACGACTCCGCGGCGGCTTTGGCGGCGTTACTATGAAGAGTGTTGGAGGCGGCCTTTAGAGACTTGTTGTTGATGTTCGCTGGAAAGCACCACTTCGACCGTTGATGACCATCTTGAGATGAGAGTGTCCTTCATATCTCGGTGAGGTCGTGGTTGAGTGGTAATGATGTTGCGCGGGTGGCTTGGTTTGTAACACTGTAGAAGGAATTGTGAGGATAGCAACTCGGAGTGCTGCTTCACTGTTAACATCTGGCATTTTGAATGTAAATGCTGCTCAGAAGTGATTCCGTGGCAGCCTGTAATCAGTCGTAAAGCAGCATTCTGAGAGCGTTGTAGTCTATTGAGGCTTGAGTTGGACGTCAGAGGGGACCCGGCCGGGCAGGCATACTCAATTGTGGAACGCCCAATGGCTTTGTATGTCTGTAGGAGTGTTTCTTTATCCTGGCCATATGTGGTGCCGCTGAGAGCCTTGAAAATATTGTTTCTTTTGATGGCCTTGACCGTTGCCATTTTGTGGTGTTGTGAGAACGACAGCATTGTGTCCAAGGTTAGTCCTAATATTTTCGGGTTGTGTTCCAGCGGTAAAAGCTGGTTGTTTATCTTAATTTGGGGATGGTAGTTGTATTGCGATGTATGAGATGTGAAGAGTGAAACTGTTGATTTAAAAGTGGAGATTTCTAAATTTCTGCTATTGAAGAAATCATATAACTTCGGAAGATAGCAATTGTGCCGGCGGGTCAAAATATCTGCACCCCCTCCCAACCTCGGATGTCAACCGGTGATTTACTAGTTGAAGTCATCGTTGGCAGAAATTACAAGGAAAGAAGAATTTTTTGAATTCAAATGATAAATCCAAAAATGAAATTATAAAATCGAAAAAAAATCATACAACTTCTTTGATAATTCTAACATCAAAAAGTCATAGCGTATTAATCGAACTGGTTGTATTATCGAACTTCTTCATGTTTCATCCTAACAGCTGTGTGTGTGTGAGTGTGTTCTTGCAAGCTATCGGTTATGATAATGAGCAATCAAAGGTGCGTGTCTGCGTGTATCAATGAATGTGCTATTAAATAAGAGCGCTTCGTAAATCTGTTCATCTAGTTTCTTTATTAACTTGCTATAATTGAGTAGCAAATTTTTATATTATGTTTTTGTCTGTTGAAGATGAGTCTCATTCGCATTATCTATTATGGAACTTAAGTATAAAAAACAAATAAAATATCAAATAAAATCAGACAGGTGATAAACTACATATAGGAATCATTCAATTCAACAATTCAATTATATACATATAGACAAAATATATAGGCTCTTGCATTATAAAATATACCTACATTTTATAATCTACAATCCTGTGCAAAAGTATTGCACATTTAGCAAAAAATTTCCGATCGCTAGACGTTGTAAATTATGTATAATAAATTTACAAAGCAATTTTTTCAAAGAATTATGTTATATATAAGTTAAATAAACGTAATTATTCCAAATTAAACATTAATTTAGCGACGTGACGATTAATCACACGCAGTTACGCCACGCTGAGTTTACTTGCTAAAATTCTTTAAAAATATCAAGTGTACAATACTTTCGCACGGGACAATAATAATAATTTGAGATAAAACAGGAACAATAAAACATTTTAGTTCAACAAAAATTTCTCAAAAGAAGTTTAAACTTTCTTTAATTTTAATTAAGTTATTTGTTTTTTATAAATACAAAAATTTGAATAGGAAACATACATTCTAAAAATATGAATGAACGCTGGGGTCTTTTTCATAATTTTGATAAGTTTTTGGGTACTGCCACATTAGCATAAACAAGTCACGTGATTTTCCGTTAAACATTTTAGTGTGTTAGGCTAATTGAGAATGTGTTCTAAAATTATAAATTGTATGAAACTATCATAACAAAACTCAAGACGTTAGTATAACTACAGGTTAAAAGTGAATTTAATGTCTTGACTGTGGTTTTGAGGTTGGAGCGTTTGTAGTTTTGCGATGAAATTTTATACAATCTTTTTCTAAACTTTTAAATAAAAATACTATTCAAAACATTAAAAAACATTATACATATTTAAATTAAAGCATTAAAAATTATACTCATATGCATGTGTATGTTATGATCAGTGGTTTTCGCGCGTATTCATATACGCTGTGCGTGTTTGTCGTTGACACCTCTGGAAAGACAAAATTGTCTCAACCTTTTAACCTTTATACATATAATGTTTAAATTGATACTGATTACCACTAGATTGACGAGTATTTATTTTTAAACTATGGTGATTAAATAGAGTTAACTTATGTTTATTATTGTTTAATTTAAACAAAACGAATTTAATTTAAATGAAACTTTGTGGAAAGAAACCCTGAATCACTAGTGACACCACTCGACTGAGAAACAAATTATCACTGAATAAAACGAAAATAAGATCAACTCCATGCAATTAACACGTGATTGTAAAATTGTTATATATATATATATATATATATTATATATATATATAATATATATATATATATATATATATATATAATTTGGTACGAGGATTTTAGAAAGACATGTTTGATTAAAAATAATACCCCAATTTTTAGATATCTGCTTTTTAAATAAGACTTTAACAAGACGTAATTTATCAGACTCATAATTATTTAAGTCCGTGATTTGGCTGACGGCCGTTTCGGCTATTGCCATCGTCAGAGCTTAAAATTACATGGGTTAATTATTTAGTTTGAATATTGAATTGAATTATATGAAATATTAAATCAATAAAATCAATTAAAAGTTACTGATAAATATGGCCTTTTTTATTACACTAAAATAAGAGTTTAATTAGTTATTGTTGATTCAACATTTTTTTTAATTTTCGATAATCTACATTTGTTTAATTTTTTTTACATTTATCAATGATTAAAATTACTAAACCAGAATATGTATTGAATACTAGCTATTATATACATCATCATCGACCGCTTGCTTGTTTCTGTGATCATTGCTTCTCACCTGCTTCGTTCATTGGTGGTCCTTGCTATACACGTTAAAATTGATAGGGGTCCGCAAGATCAAAAAGTATGAGAAGCACTGTATTAAATGACATCTTTAGAACAAATTCAGTTATTTAATGCGGAAGTTACTAAAGTGATACATTGATAAATTGTTTAATCTGTTTTAAACATTTTCAGTTTAAAACGTTGCAATATGAATTATTATGAATAAAACCGTAGTTATTTAAATAACGTTATTCAGTAAAATTTGGCATAGACAAGTGCAGAAAAGAATAGCTGTAATAATGCCTCACATGTTCTTTTTTATTATTAATAGAGAATTTATATGGCGCTCTTTATTATTCAGAGACGCATCTTGAGCTTGGTGGAATTGAAGCATGAAGAATCATATACTTACGAAATTGTTGAACAGTCATTCCTGGTTGACGCAGACTGTCCGTCAAACTGTTCCAAACTGTTCGACCTGTGACTGCAAAACCACGATTGGCCACCACCAACCGTGTCTCCGGCAACGACAGAAAAAATTTATATCGTCTGAACGTGTC